CCCCCAGGTGCCTGGGGACTACAAACTGGTTTTAAGATGCTGTTGGGTTGTTTTTCCTGTGTAGTGGTGGGCGCAGACCTCTATAACTGCCCCATCACTGGACAACTGTCCCCCCATAGCACTTGGCTACCCCTGACAATGCAGTCAGTGACTAACAACATGGTGAAGGGGACATCAGGCTCGGCTATCACCTCAGATGTGCCCAGCGGTTGCAGGGAGCCTTGCAAGGATAAGCATGGTGCCAAGGTGCCCCACAACAGCTGGAACCTCTGCCCTGGATGGGCACTCTTGGCCCAGGCATGTTTGATTACTGTGACTAATGAGTCTTTGGAATACTGTGGGGGAAGGGGGGGAAGGAGGGAGTGTTCAGTGGTTTCCAGTCAAAACTCCCCAACTTAGAGCTACGTACACTCAGAGGTGGCTTTGGGTTTGCCATGAACTGACCTTGTCATGGGTGCAATAAAGATTTTTGCAAAATTTGTGAGGGGGTTCATGTTCTCCCTCTGTGAGGAAGATCATAGCACAGTTTCGTCTTCACCTTTGCTGTGGTCCAGTTACAGCACCGTGAGCAACTGGGAGATGCTTTGCAGGGCATTCGCAAACCTTCACAGATTCTGCCTCAATGCAGCCAAATCAACCACTCTCATTGCTTGCACTGGGGCTGCCCAAGGCACACTGGTGGAAAGTGGTGGCCTCATATCTCACCAGAAAAAACAGGGCCCAGCCTTTAACGTGGTGCTTTCAACCGACAAGGGGTGCAGAGGCACTGCAAGGAGGGGATGGTGACACTGGGCTGCATGGAGATATCAGCCACACTCCTAGTGCTGCTGGGAGCAGTCGGGCCAGTCCAATGCAATGTGTTACCCCTGAACTTGGGACCAAAACCACCCTAAGACCATTGCAAAAAAGCCACGTGTGATAAAAGGGTAGTTTTTCCCAGTGTTTTTCCCCATGTGCCACAGCTGTTGGGCTCGCATGCAAGGCCATGCAGGAGCTGCTTATCGGCTCGGTCCATCGTGGCATCAGACTGATGGTGCCACTGCCCATCTCTGCTCTTAATCTCATTACAAATAAAGGAGGGGTAGAAGCTAAACTGAGCTCATATATTAAATCCCTGTGCCCTGCCCTGCTCAGTTTCAGGAAATACCTACTAGAATTGCCAATCTCGTTATCCAAACCATCCCTGGAAACGATCATTAGCTGCCTTACTCCTTTGCCAAGCGCGTCCCTCGCCAGCCTGGCTCCGTTTACCCACAGGGCCCCCACGGTGCCTGCTCGTGCCAAGGCATGCACCACAGCCACCTGCACCTGCGCCCTCCCACCAGACCACAGCTGAACTCCCTCCCCTGAAGTTCACCAGTGCTCTCACCCAGAAACAAGGTGAGGGTGGCCAGGCAGCAATCCGAGTTATCCTGTTTTGCTTTATCAAGTTCCTGTAGTGTGCTGGACTTATTTTTGGTGGGGTTGGATGGTGGCCAGGAGGTTGGAATATGTTGACATTTATGACTTTTCTCTTTTTTTTTTTGCATAACAAAGTTTTGCTAAATGAGAAGGAAACAAACTGGGTGCCAGCTTTCACCATGTGTTTAAAACAAGATAAAAGTAATCCTGGGCGGGCCACGGTATCCGACTGCTGTGGAGACAGCAGTTTCCACTGCGAAAAAACAGAAGGGTGACCCACACACACTATACTGTGTTCCAGGAAGATAATGGGAGGACCTGTTTCTCTCAGTGGCATCTATTGGACCTGTCCATGCGGATCCAGAGGTTCAAAGTGAAGACAGGGCTGTGCTTGGGGTGAACAACAATGTTGGGATCTGTCCCTGTGCGTGGTTACACACGATTGGTTCTGGTGCTGTTGCTGCACCAGGGCATGTGATACATGGGACCTGGGTGCCTGCTGTGGAAATTGAGTGATGGGAGGAGAAGCACACACATATATGTGCCCATCCACACCTGGCAAAGAGCACAGTGTTGTGGGACCTGGCCAGAGTCATACCCCAATGCACAGACAAGCAGGAACATTTCACACAGGAAGAGGTGGCTCTTATAGTGGGTGTGGGCAGAGGAGCAGTTGTGGAAACAAAAGACATACATACTTCTTTCCTTTTTTAATATAGTTCTTCCCCAAAGCAGGACTAGCCCATTTTATCTCACTGCCAGCTGTTTTGTTCTTTCCCCCCCACCAGGCTGGGCAAGGGTGTGGACAGCAGCAAACAACTTTTTTAAGACAGTTTTTCATGGGAAGATGTTCTGCTGCCTGTGAGTGCTCAGCTTGGCTCTGCCCAGGTTTAAGCAGGAGCAAAGAGCAATGCTCAGTGAAAACTCCATCTCCTTCCTTTGCCCACATCTTCTCCCTGGCCCAGTTGCTGCAGCTTGCAGGCACCCAGCAACCGTAATGCAAAGGTGACAAACCAGTGCAGGCTCTGCTCCCACCCATGACCACAGTGCCTCCGAGGTGGGGACATTCTTGCTCAGGGGCTGGCCAACCTTACATAGGGAAGTCAGTGGGGATGGTGCCACCCAAATTGTCCACCACCCAGTCAGAGAACAAGCAGCAGGAGGGATGCAGCTGCAGAGTGGGATGGAGTGGCAGCAGAAGAGGGTTTTCAGCCAGGCTGGTTGCTTGCATGGCTTGTGGCTGGAGCTCCAAGGTGATCAAAGCTGGTATATTTTGCTGTTTCAGTCTAGAAGCTGGGAAATAAAGTTGACATATAAAAGGGTCCAACTGCACAATGTTTTATAATTTATCTTGTTCCATCTTGGAAATAACAGAGATTAGTCATCATCCAGTGGAGTTGTTGGAGACTGACTTGCCAACATGGCCCTAAGCCTCCACAATATTGGTGAGGTTCAGTTGATTAAAATTAATACCTTAGAAAGTCTCTCAGGCTAATGTCTATGGAATGTCCATGTTTCATTAAATTGTAGCCACTGGACATAAAGAGCTTTAAGTATTTCAATCTTGATAATAGATTCAGGAATTTTTAAATAACCACAAGTTTTATTTTCAGGTGAAGTTTCAGGAGTGAGCTTGGCTGGAGGGAAGCTTTTGGCAGCCACTTACAGTAAGGCATTTACAGCCCAAAGGGGCTCAGCCTCAGACTTTCTGCTGGCTTCTATTGGAGGTTTCTTTTCTTGTACAAGGTGTTTTCCATGCACCTACCCTCTGCATGAGGCATCAGGTGCCTTGCTGGGCTACCATGACCTCTGCTAGCCACTGCTGCCCACACCTTGGTGCCTTCACTGCCACTGGCTCTTCAGAGTCTGTTGCTGGATCCCTCACTGCAAAGTTCAAGGATTCATCTTCTCCTTAATGAAGCATCATTTCACCTGTATTGTCCTGAGATATTACGACCTCCCTGTGCTGGGACATGCCTGCGGCAGAGAGCAGGCTCCTCCAATGCCCCCACAACCCACAGCAGCAGCCTTGTGCAAGGGGCAACTAAACTTGGCTTGAGCCCACGTGAACATCAAAACAAAAGCAAAGCTCCTTGCTAGTAAAGATCCCCTGGCATTGAGTAACACCATGCAGGGCTTTCCTTTCAAAACCATGTCCGCACCCAAACACACAAAAACACACAGAACCATGTCAGTTGTTATTTTAAATACTTTTAAATTCTATTATGTTTCCTTTATGAGTCGTTTTCTTTTTTTTTTCCTCGTTGACTGTCATAAATCAACCCAGCTAATCCCACTCTACATGTATTATTATTAGGAGGGGCATGGTAGAGTGAACAAGGAACTAGGTCATGGCTCAACCATCTCCTTCTCCAAACAGCTCCTATTACTGGTGATAGAACTGGAGAATGTATAGAAAATGGCCAACACCTAAGTGGGTTGTGCTTCTCTTTGGTGGCCAAGCTTTAGCTAAAGGAACTCAGAGCTGGCCTGGGAGCCATGAAGTGTGCTCTGAGATGCACATCAGATTTGTGCTCAGTGGTGAGACTACAGGCACTCTCTCCCTGGGGAGCTGCTTCATGCTGGGGCTTTGGGAAGCAGCAATTATCAGACTGGCAGGGCAAGAGAGGAATAGCAAAGTGAACCAACGTAGCAGGAAGCAAAAGTGTAAGTTCACCAGGTTGTCCCTGGGGCTTATTTGACCAAGGAGGAGTGTTATACATTCAGTATTGTTGTCAGCTTTCTTTTTCAAAGGATACAGGTGCCCTGCAGGCAATCTGAATGTGACCCTGACAGCTCTGGCACATGCCAGGCCCCTACATCAAATCTCAGAGTTGAAATTCATTTCTCAGAGGCCAAGCCACCTTGGTGGCAACCCATCCCACTTGGATTCAAAAGAGACCAGAAACCTACATTATATTTTGGTGCGCGTCTCAAAGAGCTCTGCTACTTGCTCCTGTGAGGCTACAGTGTGCCAGTAAACCTGGCATCCACCTCTGCTGTTGCAGCAGAAATACAAATCCACTTCTAAGCTAGACTTTGCCAGAGCAGAGAACAAACAAACTGGAAAAGTGCCTTTGGCTCACTACATTCCTGTGTCCTGGCTTCAGCCTGGCACAGGCCGCCAGCAGGTCCCCTCAGCAGAGCAGTGTGGTGAGCAGTATGGCCAAGGCAGCCTTTTCCCTTCTTGGGAAATTGTTTGCAATTAAGTATCAAAATGTTGCATCCCTCAGAGGCTGCTCCACAGTTCTGCACCAAAGGTCTTTGACCCCAAGTGTCTGTCATGCCCTGCACACCCCAGCAGGGCACAGGGGCTGCAACGCCCTCTTCCTGCTCACCAAACTGCCTGAAACATGTCAGTTGTATGTAAGTTACTAAACAGCTGGATACAGAGCAATGGAGATGGACAGGCACCCAAAAGCACATAGACATTTAATTCTGTCCACACTGGTGTCTCTGACACTCCTCCAGCACGGGAGGGGTGGAGGGTGCTCTAAGGTCTGGGGCAAGAAATCCCAAAGGGACAGGTACCATCACGAGGCAGACCCCAAATTCCCTAGCCTCTCCTAGTAATTTATTAAATAAAGACAAAGGCAAGCCCAGATGTATTCAGTTTATTTCCTCTGGATTTAGACACAGCTCTGGCTAACCACCATGGCACCAAACCAACCACGACTGGTGCCAGCCCCCCAGCTCCTCATAGGAGGACCAACTGGTGGGATCCCTGAAACCCTGGCAGGTCTGGGGCTGCACTGAGGGAGCAGCTCTGCAGGATGCACTTGGGTAGATGTGGTTGTTGGAGGAAGTCAGCACAGACCTACACAGAAGGTGCACCATGTAGGAGTCAAGCCTTGGATGCAACAGCATAATGCAGATGAGCAGACAATCAGAAGAATGCAGAAATGGGTGTCAGCTCTCCAAACTGAGAGTTGCCCTTCCCTTCCTCCCCCCAGCTTTTCCTCTGGCTATTTTGAAAAGGGGCCGGGGGTTAAGCATTTACAGAAGAGGCTCTTTAGAAGGGAAGGGTTTCTGAAGGCAGAGATCTGTGGGCAGTTCTTTGAGGAGCCAACATGATGAATCTTTTCAACAGTCTACAATGAAGGGAGATAACCTCAAAGAAACAAACGATGCTGGTGACTCAGAAACACCCAGAGCTTTGTCCTGTGCAGATTCAGCATTGGAGGAGGTGCAGCAAATGACTCTTCGAGCATTTGCTCGATGGTGGTAATGGTGGTAATTGTGCCCTCTTCATAGTCTGGGCATTTGTTTTTCCAGATGCACTGAGTTCCCCTCTGTCTTGCCCAGGACCAGCTTTTAAAGAGGTATCAAGAAGGACCATCCTTGTCTACAACCTTGTCGCCTGTGACTGGATGGGAAGCGGGTGCTTCTGAGCCCGGAAGGTTTGGATAGGCACAAGCTACAGAAGCAAAGAGAAAAGACAATTCTCTTTTGCAGATTATAAGTCCTAGGAATGCCAAAGCTGGCAGAGGGAAGCAGAAAAGGACTGAGAAAGTGCCAATGCAGCAGGGAGCTGAGCAAAGCTGCTCAAGGACGAGAACTTCAGCAAAGATCCCTGCAGTGTTTTCTGGAGACAATGCAGTAAATTCAGCAGTAAAGACTGCTGCAACCTTCCTTTTAGGAAGTAGCACCAGAAGCAGCTGTTGGATCAAAATAAAAGCTGTCCCTTTGTCTTGGACATGAGCAATTCTGTGACTCAATGCTTGCTCTGAGATAGAGGATGCTCTGATCCCACACACAGGAGTAAATTTAATGGTTGGAGAGGGATGATTTACTGGTTTAGCAGCAGTTACTTGCCTAGTAGATCTAGTCTAGTCTTCAGCCAGCACTTAGCAGGAGCCGGAAGACTGGTTCATTAGCACACCTGAGACATTTCTCTAGCAGATGCTAAAGAGAAGCAGCTATTTTTGGTTGAGGGAGAAAAAGAATAGGTCCTCCAAGGGAGTACAGCAGGCCTGAATGAGTCCTGAGAAGTGCTAGAAAAGAACAGGAAAGGCTGGAAGCAGAGTCAGACCCACCAGGAGGTGCTGACACAGGGAGGAGGGTCCCAGCAAATGCTGTGCTAAACACAGAAGAGGCACTCCTGAAACTCCACAATCATATTAACCTGTTAATTTATACAGTGTCTCTGTACAAAAATAGAAGGGTTCTAATAAGATTAACAATATTAAATAAATATTAATAGAAAAAGTCTTTGGCCTAGTTCATAGCTCATCCTTTGGGTTTATGTTCATTTCACTGGGTCCTAGATGCTCCTGGTCCAACATCGCGATCACTTCATCTGCCTGGATTCGCTCCTGCAAGAGTGGAAGGGGAGAAACAGTAACAGCAGAGCTTCAGTGCCTGCTCTCAGATAAGTCAGTGTGGCTCAGCCTGCTGGGAGGACACACAGCAAGGATTTCACCCCAGAACCAGCAGTGTAGTTGAGAGGATGGGGGACTTGAGCTGGGGATTTGCTGGGCAAAATTAATCAAATCCATTTCCACCTCAATACCTAATTCCCTCCTCCCTTCAGGACTGAAGTAGTTGGGGCAGAACTGATGTACTGCAGTTTCCTTATCACACTCCACTGGCAGACACTGCCACAGCATACCCTCTACCTGTCCCCTCCACATGATTTCAAGTTCCCTGGGCAGGGCTGATCTCCTACCATACAGGCAACAAGCATAGAGGATTTACCACTAGAACAAAAAAGCTGAGAGACACTAAAGTACATGACTGAAAATAAGCTTTTTCCAAAACCTCACAGCCCACCTGCATCACAAGGCAAAGGCACCAGGGTTTTGCACTCTCCCTGCATTTAATTTTGCTTGGTTTTGTATCTTTTATTCTTGTAGAGCAGAACTGATACAAAAGGGAGATAGGAGCTAGTACATCAGCCTTTTAGAACAGAATCTGGAGGGTCCCTAGTGAAAGGCATCACAGTCCAGATCTTCCAAGGTATCTTGGGTGCTCGGACCCACAGAATTCAGGCTGACAAAATGTCTTTGAAGACTTAGCAGCAGCGACACACCACTGAGCTGTGGATGGCTCTGGAGGAGTTCCCTGACCATCAGGTTATTACCACTAGGTGTCAGAAATGGCCCTGCATGGAGCCCTTCCACACCTCACTCAGCATCCCAGCCAACACTGCAAAGGGCAGTGGGTGCCCAGGATCACGACTGGTAGGAAAAACAGTCCCGGGGATAGCAGCTCGTATGGTGGGAATGCTGCTGTGGGGGTGTAATGGGGGGAAAACCGATGTGTTGGGACTGGAGAATAAGATGGTCCTGGTTCCTGCTGGATACTGGGTAGCCCTCTACTCCTCTCACATCACAAATAGAGGGACTCACCAGCTCTCTGTAGAGAGGGTCCAAGGTGAACCAGAGAGCCACAGCGCACCGCTGGCCTTTGGTGACTGCCTTCACCCCGTGGGGGTTCTCGCCGCCCGACGAGAAGCTGATCATTCGCCCGCACTTGGGCTTGATGGAGGCCTGTGGGAAACAGGCAAAACCAGGGTAGCAAAGAGCATGAGCACAGCTGCACACACTGGCTGTGGCTGGGCTCACCGTGGTCCAGGGCCTGGGACCTTACTGGGCACCTCTCTGTGTTGCCCCAGGACCTGGTGAGCTGCTGTGGAAGACATGCAGAGCTCCAGGCATGGTTGAAAAAAATGTGTGGGGTAAATAGGGAGGTGTAAAGCTTGGTCATGTTACAGGTGACCACCTAGAGCAGAATGGGGCCATGACATAACTCCAAGGAGGTTCTGGGTAAGCCTGGCATGGCTGTGGAACGCCTCTTTCTTCTCTCTGCAGAGTCCACAAGAGGTATCCCGCAGAACCTCAGGGGCAGAAGTGCCAATCAAATCAACCCTCAGGTACTTAAGTAAACACAATCTACCCTCTAGCACCTACCAGACTCCAGAGCACCATCACAGTGCCCAGACTTCTCTGTCCAACCACAGAGGGGGTTCCCAGCTTCCCTACAGAGAGGTGAGGGCTTGTGCCTGAGCCACATCCTTCTTAGGGTCTTGTGTCGACCACTGTGAGCCACTCTAGCTCAAGAGACCCAAGTCAGGCACTGCATCTATATGGAGGCACCACTTCACGTTTGGCCACGAGATGGGGTGGGAGCTCAGCAGTCCTCCAGGCAGGGATAACTACCAGTCATCCTTCTGCCATGCACTGGGATGGTGAGAACTCCTGATCTGTAGGTTTCCTGCTTGCCACAGGAAACCTGTAGAAAGTGAACAGAACATCTGTTCTTCACCTCTGCCAACAGGATTTTGTATGGGCTGTTTGCAAGGTAGGAGCCACAGGCTGCCTGGGGAAGAAGCCCCAGAGCCCCTGAGCATGGGCTGTCTCGGAGCAGCATTTGGTCTACAGCACCCCCTTACCGTCACAGTTTTGGCATCCATCTCGGTGAAAATGAACTCGCCGCCTTCAAAATCCGCGTTCATGTACAAGAGGGCACTGGGGGAGGAAGCAGGAGACCTCTGTAACAGGAGCAGTGGGGAGGGCTCAAGGCTGACCCCTGCCTCCAAGACACATCCCACATTGCTCCACCATGGGTGGAGGTCACTCAAGCTACTCCGATTTCAGGGACACAGCTGAGAACCAGCAGAACTCTCCCTGGGTAGAGAGCAATTCCCAACCTTCCCTTGGTCCCACCAGCTCTCACCCTCCCGTTTTGCACCAAAAACATCTTACAAACACACAGTCCTGTGGACCATAGGTGGGATCTCACAACCCTAAAACATCACAGAGCCATTGTAAGTAAACCATGGCATTAAGCTTAGCCACAATGCCTTCTGGCACCATAAACTACCTGCTGGATCCCACTTGTGCCACGGTTGGGATGTACTAGCTTTAAGCCTGTGAAGCAAGATACCCTGACTTGGAGAGGGTTCCTGGGTGCCCTAGGGATCAGATCTCCTTTCCTTCCCTCTTACCTGTAATCCCTAAAGGTGTAGGCAGGAGGCTCCTTCCAGCACTCGTTGGCTTCAGGGTCCAAAAGGCAGTTGTCAGCATGGATGGGGTGGCTCAGGTCATTCCTTCTCTCCTGCTGGCCTAGGCAGGACCATGTGGAGGAAGGGGGAAGGGGAAAGGGCAGATGAGATGGAAATGCCATGCTCTGTGAGGTCCATCATGGGGCGGGAGCCTGCCCAGACCCCACTCCGGGTGGTGTTCACAGATGAGAGGAGAAAAGCAAAGGCTGGGGAGAAAAGGCAACATCTGAGGACTCAGATCTGCACAGCTCTGCTTGTTCCTTACTGCAGGGAAGCAAAATGGAGAACTGTGCATGGGGTGAAAAGGAGAAGGGACAGTGAGAGGAGTCAAGAGAAGAGGGAGGAAAAAACAGGAAGAGTTGCAGACATGACAACCAAGAGACATCCCAGAAATTAGTGTCCTTGGGATAGCAGTACCCACCCTTTGCTGCTGTGGGGATGGTGACTTTGCCCAGCCCTTGGCCACCAGTTTAAGCATCATGCAAAACACAGTTAATCTCAGGCCTGAGACCCCCACTCGTAGCACTCATACCATCTAGCAGGGCTAAACCCCTCCTTCGTCCCCGCCCTGCCCTACCACTGGCCCCTCAGGCCCTCACCGGAGAGGGCAGTGCGGCACACCAGGTGTGTGTAGGAGAAGTAGAGCGTGGAGTTCAGCATGAAGTAGGACTCGACGATCCTGCGAGCCTTCTCGCTGATGTCGTAGAAGAGCCGGGCACTCTTCAGTGGGACACGGCCCTCGTAGCCATACTGGGCAAGGAAAGGGGGCAACAGAGGTCAGTGCCATGTGCCCACCAGGAGGGACGACATGGGAGAGGAGGAGGAGGAGGAGGAGGAGGAGGAGGAGGAGGAGGAGGAGGAGGAGGAGGAGGAGGAGGAGGAGGAGGAGGGAGCTCTACCTTGAGGGCTTTGAGGACAGTGGCTCCTTCAAATCTCTCATTTGGGGTGTGGGGGGAGGTTTTGCCCCTGTAACCATCTCCAGCCAACATGATGCCCTGAAAGACATGAATACACAGCTGGTCAACTGGTTCATCAGGAGAGGCGGAGCTGCAGTGGAAGCACCTGGCACCATCTTCCCCAGATTCCCCAGGGCTGCATTCACAGGGACAGGTGAGTTGGGTGGGAAGGTGCTGCAGCTTTCTATGAACATGGATGATGGATATCAGCCACCCACTCCTGACTGAAGATGTTCAGGTACCCTTAGTCCCTTCCCAGGCTCAGTTAATGGTGAATGAGAAGGCTCAACCAGACTTGTGGATGAGCATCCTCTGGAACTGTGCACAACATGGGGCAACGAGCTCTTTCTACACAGGCTCCATCTTGCAGCATGTTTCTAGGAACAGCCTGAGATGGAGCAGCAGCTCCTGTTATGGGTGTGCTATGTGATAAGTATCTGCCTGCTCTTCACAGGCATCCGGATGGCATCAGTTGCAACACTCAAAAGCGAGGTATGGACCCAGAACCTCTCCAAGGGCTGGTCACACATTCAGCTATCACATGCCTGATGCTGGGGAGAGCATCAGACACTCAGCCCAGGTGGCAGCTGTGTCCCCCCAGGGGCATTGCCAACTCACACTGGCCACCCTGTGCAGCTCTCGGCACTGCTCCTCCGAGATGACATTGTCCAGAAGCACTCGCTGGGTGCCATTCAGCTGCTCTGAGTTGTAGACAAACTTCACATCGCTGTAGAGAAGTGGGCCCCCTGATGAGAGACACAAAACAACCCTGCTGAACATGCCCTGGCCTTGTTGACATCTTGTACCGTGACTGAGGGTCAGCTGAAGTGACCCAGGTGCGCAGCCAGGGAAAGAGCTTCACAGCAGAGAGCAAGAGTTTGGCCTTCCATCAGCAACAAAAGAAACAGAAGCAATGGGAACACTGAGAGATGAAATCAATTTGCTGCAATAACATCAGCATTTTCCACCTCCTCATCAGCTGCCTTGCAAACACAGGGACTGCAACCTGAAAACGCCAGAACTTGATGGGACACAAAGAGAGACATGGACAGTGGCTAACTTGGCCCTCCTGCCCAGCTGTCCACATCATCAGAGACCTTAATTTCTCTTGCACTTGAGATGTGTGGATTTTGCTGGCTTGGTGTGCAAAGCCACTCTCTGCAATTGTCATCAATGGGTTTTTTGTCATTTACACACACAGAAAGCCTCACGGGTGCTGAGCTTGCAGCAAGCACTCCTTGTTCTCCTCCAAGAAGGGGGCTGAGAGTGGGTGAGCCAGAGGAGTCTGAGGACAATCCTCCACTGAGGTGAAGGAGCTGCCCTGGCTGACCCTGCCATCCCTCACATTCTGCCTCCTTCTGCCTGCCAGTAGCCAATGGCTTGGCTGCATTTTGGGGGTCCAGGTAACATCCCTGGAATGGGAATACAGCAGTGGCTGGGCTTTCACACTGCTGAGCTCCCACCTGGTATCGGGCAACTGAACCTTGCCACTTGCTGAGGAAATGGCAGAAGAGAGAGATTAGCTCTTTACCAGAGGTTTTGCTCAACCCCCATAAAATTTGACAGATAAAAAACCAGGACAAAGCCTCTAAATCATCTCTAAATCTTCTGATGCTTCTTTTCAGCATCTCCTCGAAGAAAGAAAATGAAATAAATGGTAACAATAAAAGCCTAAACAAGATTTTTCTCCAGGAGGAAGGTGAAATGCATCTAAACTGTGGGGAAAATTATGTGTTGTCACAGAGAGGCAGTGAAATAGTGGAAATAGAGCCGTGGAGCTCCTCTCTCACCACTTGGCACAAAGAAACTTTTCTGTGACACTGCTTTTATAATTTCTACTTTTCTTGTCTATTGAGGCACACTGTGTTTTTGGAAGGTCTCTTTGGCCTATGGAGAACACATAACCCCCACAGAGCCCTGCCACTATCCCAGTTTATTTCTGAAGAGTTAGGTTTCTTGGAAATGGAAAAGAGGGGACATTTCTGTTGTTCACTGTGCTGATCTTGTTGCTTGATAATAACATTTATTGCAAATGCAGCTGGATCAGAAACAGGACTCTCAAATCCAAACTCCTGGCATACTCCAACTCAGGCCTGAATTTTCCAGCTCAGATGTTGCTCTTCCCCAGCCATAGGCATGTGAGGGATGAACATGGAAGGCATCACTGACCACTTCCACCACTTTTTCTGTCTCTCAGAGTAAACTAGCAGAGCTGGCCATGTACACTGAATCCTTGTCCCATACCAGCGGCACACTCCCGCCTGCCTTCATTGCCCCCACTGCCTCTAAGGACCAACAGAGAGAGACCTGATTCCTGTGTCTATGCTCTGTGAAAAACACCCCAAAGAAACTGGGGAATTTTTTTTTACTTTTGGGAGTGAAGGAATTGGCAGAAAGGAAGAAGGGGGGAAGGAAAGCAGTACAGAAGAGTACAAAATTAAAATGCACTTTTTTCTTTTGGCCTATTCTTTTTCCAAGTAAAAAGAGAGAAAGAAAAAAGACAACAGAGAAAGGCAGCAGCTGGATGGACAAAATTCCCATTTTCTTTTTGAATGGTTTCAGTTCACCTTGTAAACAAAAACATTCTGCAAGTAAACCAGAATAAAAGCATAGAAGAAAAATCAAAAAGAAGCACTCTGAAATTACCTGGTTATAGAAGGCGACCAGGCCAACAAATATAATTCAACCAGCTCTTGGCTTATGCAAGATGTTTGGGATCTTCTTGTGGTATTCACTTACTTTATGTAGGCTAGAGAAGGGATAACAATACTCTGAACACAACACTGTGCAAGTGGAGACAACTTGGGCTGGGGAAACCTGTGAAATTCCCCCAAAAGCGCAACCATCTATTGCATTACAGGGAGGTTTAACTGCCTGCTGCTGTGTAGCTGGCTTGCTGGAGGCACAAGACACCTCTTGGCTTGAGACTCCGTTGTTTTGCAGCAAGAAGTCTGCTTTGGTGCTTGGCTACAATATTGTTATTCAAAATTGTTATGGGGAAAAATCTTGTCTTTAGTAGTAGATGTTATGGTATTTTCTGTGGTTGCTGAAAATGTGCTGAAATCAGTTGAATGTCTGCCAACAGGCTTAAAAACAAGTGATTTGATATAAGCTAAGACCTGAAATCATAAACCAGTCTGCAAAGAGAAATGGTTGCTAACCATGGTGTGATCCAGCACATTTTGCATAGCATCAGGACTGTTGCCTCCAGAATCCATCCTTCTGCAGCCTTGACAATAGGGAACATGTTGATATTATAAGTATCTTGAGGCAAGACTACTGTTTGCTGGTGCCACTTTCCCCACAGTGAGGAAGACCCAGCCTCCCACCTTCACATCTTAGGGCTCTGTCCTTAACAGCTCAGCAGGTGGGAAAAGCAAGTCCAAGGGCAGAGCAGTGCTGGTGTGATCCACAGACCCAGAAATGCTGTGGCAGCCCTGAAGACTTCTCTGTCTCTTAAACTTCAACCCCCTCAAAGAGGAGTGCTCCTCATTGCTCAGCAGCCTTTGCAGTCTGTAGTCTGTAGCAATAGGAAAAAATGTCCTGATTTTGTTCATCACACTTACCCTCCTTCAACTCTCGATCTGGCTTTGGCATGGGTTTCTTTGCCAGGGACAGCCGGGGCCCATCCTCTGGTTCACTGCTGATGCTTGACGGGACACTGAGAAGCAAGAGAAAAGAGGAACACCATGACTTTGGCCATAGATCACCAGTTCTTAGACTTGCACTTTTGCACCCTTTGCAAACCAACATATGAAAAAAAGAGGCAAATCAGTACTTTGTACAAATGTCACAACCATGCAAGTCAAAGCCCTCACCCTGTTCTGTGGCAAACCTTGCTTCTCTGGTAATGAGAACAGTTTCCACCAGCAAAGCACAGACATCAACAAACCTGAACGGCACCACCTGCCTCATCAACCAAGTTGCCTCTGGACCATCGCTAGTTTTGAGGCACTCAGCTAAAAATAAGGTCCTTGTGGGAATGTTTGCAACGGTAAGGGGCAAAGGCCCCTAATTCAACTATGACGGTGTGCTGGGGTGGATGGTCAGGACCCCCCAAGTGGCAGGCTGGTACCCAATCCATAGGCACTTCCCCTTCACCCCGCCGTGTGGAATGGTGAAGCCATGGGCTCAGTTGGAGCGGCTGGTGGCTCACCTGTGCTCGTCCTGGCGGGCTCCATACCTGTTCCAGTAGTTCTGTGGGAAAAGAGAGAGGTCAGGTTTCTTAACTTAATGCTCCAGCTAAAGCCAGGGAGTTTCCTGCTCTACCTTGCACCCAGGAACATCAGCCAGCCTCTTTGGATCCATCCCACATAACTTTGGGCAATTGATTGAGGTGACCAGATTGAAAATGTAACCCCAAACCGAACTGGCACAGTAAGATGAGTTCATAGGGACTTCAACTTGCCCAGCTTTCTCTGTCTCAATCCACCACCATGGCAGTGGCTGAGACTCAGCCAGACACCATGGCAGGAGAGCTGGACTAGGCTGCATCTCCTCCACCCTGGAACAGCTGCCACCCTTGCTTTGCCATTACCATTTTCCCATGGGGAGCAAAAGACCCAGCTTCTGAGTCACTACATGGGACTGGCTTTATAGGAGAGAGGAGAGGAGAAGCTGGTCCTGTAGCGTGAACTCCTAAAGGTCGTGGGCACAGAACACTCAGGCATTACCGGCTCTGTGTAGGTGTATCCAAGGCCGGCCGCAGCCACCTGCAAGAGGTGGGACTCCAGCTTATGGCGCTGCAGGAGTGTTTTTGCTTCCTGAAAAGAAAAGAGAAAGGAGAGTAGTTGCACATGCAGTTTTCACAAGACACAGACAATGCACCTCTTCTTCAGAGGGGTTTGGTTCTCGTGCCACACTGCAGACTCCTGTGGGGCAAGGGATGCTTGGAGTAACCCCGGGCATAGGGCTGAACTCCTCAGAACATCAGAGAAGGGATATTCAGCAACTCATCTGAGAAATCTGAATCCCCAGAATACATGCCCATAGCTGGTAGAGAGGGCTGAGCACCTTGGAGAGCATCCAAATATCTGGGCAAAAAGCTGGCCAGAGAAGCCCCAGCTGCAGAGCAGGGTCAGGTTCAGGCTGGTGGGGCAGGGACCATGGCTGGGCTGTGCCTTGGCTCCTCATGTGCAATGTGGAGCCCAGGGCCTGGCTGTGGGTGGGTTACAGCAGCACAGCCTGGGATGCACTCAGGGTGCTTGCATGATGACCACAAAGCACAGCCAGCTGGAAATTGTCCATCAGAGGGCTTCATTTTGAACGAAAAATTTGTAAACAAAACACTTGGGCTTCTCCTAGAAAACGACTTTGCAAAGCAAAAATCACCTTTTTTTTTTTTTTTTTTTTTACAGAAAACTTTAAATTACTGGAAATAATTAAATGTTTTTGTCAATGTTTTTTCCTAGATTTATTTTGTGAGGAAAACCAATAATTATTCTTGTTTTCTTTTTTGTCATTTCCCCTTTTCTTTTTTAGCATTTTACCAAAGTAACCTTGATTTGCCTGGAAATCAAAGAATACCCGAGAGAATGGAAAAAATAATTCCTGCCTACCCTCTACTTATGGTGCAAGGGAAATGAGCCTCAGCAGGGCTGTGATGGTATGGGAGGAACTTCTGCATCGTGAGAAAGGCAGCCCCATGGCCACAGATAAAGGCTGTCTGGACTGGAGAGGAAGCCTGTCCTGCTGGGTAACAACACACACTGTTTGGATGTTTGACCCCAGCCTAATCCTGTGATAGCAAAGCTACTCCCCACAGAATAGGCTGAGCCCTGAACTCCAAGCTAAAGAACTTGAGAGTAACACTGGCATCCCAGCCTCCCCTTGGGAAAATATTTCTCAGTCCTTGCTTAACAGAGGTTGGCCTTTCCTCAGTGCTTCACTCCATTCCTCCTCCCTGTCTCCTCTGGAGCACTGGACAAGATGAGGGTTTACATTGTTGAGGTACTTGCTCATCACTCTCCCTGCCCTTAGCCTTTGCTAAGCTGAAGTCCCATTTAAAGAAGATCCTGCCCACCAGCTTCTCCCCCACACCAGTGACTCTGGACTTGCACCCTGGCAACTGGCATCACCAGTGAGCCCAGCACTTCCACCTCTGTTTTCAAAGTGGTCCCACTATGGCTAAGCTTCCGAGCTGCCTTTATTTTCAACTGATGCTTTTGTTAAAGCCTCCTATGGAGAGGTCTTCGGTGTCACTCACTCTCACCTTTCTGGGTTTGATGGTGTTTGGATCCATTGCACCCTCCAACAGACCCTCATAATAACCTGCATTCTCCAAGACGTCTTCATCGTCAGGGTGGAAGAGGAGGTAGGATTTGGCACACTCCAGGGCTTTTACATAGTCACCAACTGGGAGGGAATACAATAGTAGTCAGGGGGGGCAAAGAGGGGCACAGCCCTACTGGCAGTGCCAGGGGCTCACACAGACCACAGCGGGGCCGAGCCGAGGAGGGGAGTCTGCAGGGAGGGAGGGCACAGCCTGAGCTCCCCACCAGCTGAAGGGGCAGCCCAGCACTCTACAGGGCTCTTTTGATGCAACTTTATCTTAAGCACTCCATTTCACCAGCAAGGAAACTGAGGCACAGAGACAAGACTTCTCTGCCCTCATGCACAGATCGGATGGTATCCAAATTGGATCCAATTGGATGGGCAGGCTGTGGATGCCGTCTGGCACCAAATTGCGTCTCATCTGTGCGTCATCTCTCAGGGCTCAGGGGGGTTGTATCCACCACATTAAACCTCTAACTGGGCAGAGGAATTAAAAAGCTTGTACACCACACAAGAAACACTGCTGACTCCTGCTTTCTTCCCACTGTGTTGATGAATGAAGAACCTTTTATGTTTGAGTAACAATTTTGACCCTCACACGTTCTTTCTTTTTCAGGAAAAAGCTCTTAGCACAAGCCTGAGAGAGCAGAATTCTGACTACATTTTCTTTTATGTAACAGAACACAATCAAATAGCACACAGAGCAACCACACAACTGGCAGCATTTTATAGCACTGCCAACTCCTAATGTTTTGCCATGCTTCCAGCTCCTGCACATTTACTAGGAATCTTAAAATACTTGGCAACTGGCAAAAATTGGCATCTTGGGATAAGCTTGGGACAACTCATATATCTGTTATATATTAACTTAGAAAATGTATCAGTTCATTTCAGAAAATGTGAAACACAGAACTTTGATGTCAAAAGGCAGAAGAAAGGACCTTAAAAAGGTTTGATTTATTTAAAAAATAGCAATGTTGAACCTAAAGTCTGGGCTTTTAAAACCTGACTGATGATCTAAAACACCTTTACAAAACTACTTGATTGCATTTCAGTAAACCTGACTTTTGAAGAGTCAGTGTCCAATGTCCTTTGCTTCCTAACTCTTTCAGACCATGCCACTGCATCACTGTAGCACAGACATCGGGGGAAACAGCTTTACTTACACATGAAATAATTCAAACTTGTACAAAATGAACAAAACTCAGCAAGCAATATGAAGAACAATACAACAGCCTTTACCTCTGTAATAGGCAAACTGCAAGTAGTCGTAATGGAGGGGAAGGAAATTTTCAATAGGTGAGATACGGCCTGAACGCGTGGCGAGTTCTCGGACACAGTCATGTTTGCAGGCCAGGACTTGCATGTAATGGTCTGCCAAGAAAAGAGGGAGAAGATGGTCTGAGCTGAGAGGGATGGTGATGGTGCTGAGACAAGGACAGACAGAACTTAAAACTCCCCCACTAAAGGACATGCAACTCATGCTGCTCTGGTCCAGCAGGTGACTGTGCACCCACAGATAGAGCTTAGGCTCCTTCCCAAAGACAATGGAGAGCTGGAGTCACAATTTTGCCCCTCTTTACAAATGCCTTCGTCCTTCTGTCAACTCTAGAGGGAGCCTGAGCATCTCTTTTGTGTGCTGGGAGCTGCTGCAGGGTGCAGGGATGTGCAGGTGCCAGGTACCTCTTCAACTCCAAGCCAAACCAAAGGTGAGGACACCAATAAAGCAAGTGAATGGGTGAAGACAAGGTGGCCATATGTGCTGCCAAATGAAATCCATCTCCAGACTCCTTTCCTTCAGCTCATCTTTAATCCTCTCCTTTCAGCAGCCAGAAAGCCCCTGAGGGCACGGGGAGGTTTAGCTACAAAGGGTTGCTGCAGATTCTCAAGTGTGGCCGAGCAAGGCACTTGCACCTCCACTCTGAATGGTCTGAGGTGCAAGTAGGGGGAGCAGAAATCCCCATGTTTGCTGCTTCTCAAAGATGAGCTATCTTCCAGGAAATCACAAGCACATGGTAAACATCTGCAATTAGCAAAGTTTCTTAATTGGTGGGAATTCACAATAAAGGCATTGTACCAGCTGTACGATTTCAAAGCAAACACTGACATCTGATTCCAGTTTGGAGCCTTTGCTGCAATGTACTTACAAATCTACTTTGCTTTCTCTGTCTCCATGCACCATTAAAAACCTTAAGGAACAAACACAGGCTTGAAAACAACCATTTGCTCAGCTACCAAAGCATTTCTCAGGGCTGCCAAAAAAACAGCCTGAGGAATTCGCAATGAAATCAAGTGGAAACTCAAAACAGTCCCCATTTGCTCTGGACAGGTAGTCTGAGTTGTCATCTGACTTAGCATACACATTCAGGGTATTATACTATGAAAAGCAAGAAGGGAAAGGACATAAATAATATTATTATAATTTGAACCTATTTAAGCATCCTAGACCTGAAATAATCAATCTATCACTGAGGAGCACTGCTTTTCTTGGTACTGTTAAAATGCAGGCTATATAGATTGGAATCAATTCTCTGGGGTGGCGGGAGACATGAGAGTGTTTCAACCCCAAGCAGTAGCACAGCAAATCAGTTTGGGATTGAAAAGAGAAACAAGTTTTGAAGAAAACTCAACTCTCTTTTTTTTGGTGCACTGTGTTCCCACTCCCTGTTGAAACATCTGGGCCTGAGTGCCTTGGACCCCAGAGTGAACTCTGCATCATACTATCCTGTAAGCAACCACTTAGTTCCCTACAGAAAAGCAGTCACATCACAAATCTTATTTCCTTCTGTGTGCCCAGAATTCCCGGTTTCTTTGGATACATGAATAGTCCTGGAGTTTGGAATTATTTACCCAGGCATATCTGTTCAAGACACAGTACTTGCAGGGACCATCTGGTTTCTTCTCACTCCCAGGTGATGTTTTGGGTTAAGGACCACCACATCATAACCTCGTCTGTGCTTCAGATGGGCCAGCACAGAAACATCTCTGCTCACTGGGGCTGCACTCAACTTGCACATACGGGAACAATTTATCAGAGACCAAAACCTGTCTGAAGAGCATCAGCGCTCAGTGAGAAGGAAGGTGCGTTCTCTTTGCCACTGAAGGTTGCTTTTTTGATGTGGCCCCTGGTGCCCTGGTCATGCTCTAAAAGCAGGCATGATCAGCTGACAGCTATGTTAGGACCAAGTCAGCCCTTACAACACTTCTTCTATTTTTTGCATGAGTAAACAAACCCAACAAAGGCAGCTCCCCATCCGGTATGCTGGTGGTTTCTCATCTTGGTTGTTTCAATTAAATTTCCTGTCTCAACACAAACAGAACTATGCAAACTCAAAAAACAGTCTGCATCCGAGTGAAGTATTTTCCACACAAGAAGCAAGACTCCAGAGCTTGATGCAACTCCAAAACCATAAGCAGATAAATACGATTTCTGTCACCAAACAAACCTTAATTTATTGCTCTTCCTTCCCTTACGACTAATTAAATGTAATCTCATTTCTACTGAGAATGAACTGTTTTAATCCCCTCTGGCTGAGAGCCACACATGCAAATCTGAAGATTACATAGGAACATTCAATTCTCTCCAGAGATTTCAGTCAAGATCATAATTAGGTGGGCCTCCACTAATGACAAATCCATCCTTTTGGATGGGAAGAAAATCCATGTTACGAGCCTTTTTGGCAACTTTCCTGGCCATCTGGAGCATGGCCAAGAGAACTCTGCTACTCTCTTCATATGCTCTCAAAAACAGAAAACATAAACAGAGGCCAGCAATGTCTAGATTCCAGGGAGGTGTGTGAGACTGTTTACAGGGGGAAACAGAAGTAATTTATGATAAAGCACCTACATTTCCAGCTCTTACGGAAGTCTGCAAATGCTCCACATATCTGGAAACGCAACTCTTCTAGCCCAGTTTCTATTCAGGACCAAAACGAGATGTCCTAGTTCCCTGCTCTCTGAGTTTGCCCTTTCTGGACTTCTAAGTGCCTCCTGCAGTGTTACTCAAATGCAGCAGTGATTAAAGGGAAGACACTTCACCAAATCCAGACGAAGGTCCAAACTCATTAATTAAAAACATTTCAGGGCCAAGGGCAAGAACACTAAAAATACAAAAATATCTCACCTGCAATAGCTTCGTAGAGACCAGCCTTATTATCCAGGTACTCGTGTTCCTCAAATCTCTGTGGCCCCTCGCACATGATCTGGCAATCTTCATCCTCGGCGTAGTACCCTTTCAACGCGCGCTCCAAAAACTCAATGGCCAGCTCGTACTCCTCCTTGTCGTAGTGCCTCACTCCAGCAGTGTAGTCCTCCTGCAGAGTACGTAGGCAGACCACAAGACCATGAGCTGGCTACACTGCCCAGGCCACAGCACCCAGCCCTTACCAACTGCAGATGCTTCTCAAAAGAAGATACAAGCAGGCAGGGACAGAACAATCTCCCAGAGACCTAACAGATGCAACTCGTTGTACCAAATCATTTTTAAGCCATCAATGGACTTTTGGACCACTGGGACCTGCTTAAATGCTCTTCTGAACCCCTCCACACTTAAGGAATCCTCAGTGCCACTGCTAGATTGTACATTATATGAAAAAACACTCCTTTTCTTTGTTTTTACTCTCCTACCAAACAACAACACTGAATGCCAAGGGAAAAGACGGGTCCTGACCTAGGAAGATCTTTCTTATAATGGCCCCTAATGAGCATCTCTATTAATTACACCAGCCAACCACTCCTGCTTCCTTGAGTCTTGTGAAAGTAGGAAGTTGAGGATGGCCCTGGCATTTGTCTTGGGCTTTTGCTTTGGAGAGATGGAAAAAGTTGACACTCTCCTGCCTGTCACCCTGTACCCTCACCAGCACAGTCACTCATGTGTGTTTACCCTGCCCAGGTGGCAGAACCTAGGTCAAAAGAAACACACAGGAGCCAAGATATATCAGTGTACACAGAGGCATCCATCGAAGCTGTCTGCTGGTGCATGTTCACACCAATGGGTGACCGCAGAGTTCACTGAAGAGAGGGACCAGGCTGGGGATGATTATACAAAGAGAAGTGTGCTTGAAAAGGCAGGAGCTGATTTGTCTGCTTAGGAAAATACTGTAAGGGAGAGTTTATTTTGCTGTATTGTTTGTCCATTAATACAGACCTCAGCAAAAATCTCCCCATTCGTAGATGATCCTCTCTTGGCCTCCTAAATCTCTGCTCTCCAAACTGCCTGATACTTAACCTGTGCACCTCTTTAGCTCAGACTCACCATGTGCTGCCTGGCCTCCCGATCAATCAAGCTGACCTTCCCTGCCATGGTCTTGTAGTTCTCGATGTCCTGCTGTATCTCCATGTGCTCAGGGTTTGCCATGAAGAAGGTGTGAGCTGCATTTGCTGCCTCCTCCAGCTTGTTCAGCTGTAACAAGGTAAGAAAGATCAAGTGAGGTTGATGATGTAGGAAAGTGAACACAGCAGTTTATGCTGCATCCTCTGACACCCTTTTGACACCATGGACTGGGCCATGATGGGATAACCAAGGAAAACTGAGGCTAAAGAAAACAGCTGAAGTAAGAGGAAAGCCCAGTCCAAGTGAAATGGGAAGAGCTGGAGTTCTTGAGAGCCATACAGGTCACTGCAACACAGTCTGTTGGGATCCAACCTATATTCCAGCAGTACATCCTCTGAACTCAGCTACTCCAATCCCCTCCACAGCCTCAGATGGAAAGATGCTGTCATGAGAGATGAGACAGAGAGAGGAGGGGAAAGCAGATGCTGAGACAATTCTCTCTACAAGCCTTTGAGGCTGAGCTATGTCCAGGCTAAAGGCTTCTGCTTGGACATGGGGACTTGGGACCATTTATTAAGCTCAGCCATGTATAGCTGCAAAAGGCCAGACTCTGCTGATAGAGGCAGGGGTATAAAGAGGAGTTTATTTTGGTACATCAAGTTACTTTGGATTTAGACATTTAGAACCAAGACAAGACACTAGTTTCACCTTGGAGAAAGCCTCATAAACAAATAGAAATGCTAGTGCTAAACACATCCACAGGAGTTGCTGGGAGTATGGGGAGCAGAACAGATGTTCAGGTGAAACATCTGCATGACCTAGCAGGAGAGAAGTCACTAATGCACTTGCTCCTGAAAGAAAGCCAACACCCCTGAGAACAAGCAACCTGCAGTCAGGTCCCCTGGATATGTCTGCAGTCTAACCAGGCTCACCCAAGCTTGTCAGCCAGGACCAGGCTAATGCTAGCCCTAGCTAGGCTGTGTCCAAGTGTTCTTCTTGAACAGAGGCCTGCAGTGAAGAATGAGCTTCGCACACCCTGTTATCCTGGGCCTGAAGCAGGGCAGAGAGGCTCCAGGGCAGAGCTGGCTGAAGAAGCACACACGAGTATCTCCAAAAGGAAGATGAAAGCCCTGGTCAGATGGCACCCCAGCCCGCTCCCCAGACCTGCCCTCTGCACACCAAGCACGGCTGTGCTGAAGTGCCCACAGAAATGCAAAAAATTTGCCTTGTGTAAACTTCAGAAGTTTTTAAGGATTACCTCTGTACTGACAACATATGCAAAAATAACATCTATTCCAGTCTCATTTGGAGTTTTCCAAAGGACACCACTCTCCATAATAACCCCAGTAGGTGAAAAAAAATGACTGTAAGAAATTTCCAGTAGGTGAAAAAAAATGACTGTAAGAAATTTTTATCCAAGACAGCACAATAAAACCTCAAAATCCCTTCAAGAATAGTTGTTTTTTGGTTGTTTTTTTTAAAGAGGCATTCCCACTCAGAAACATGCATCCCATCTTGAAAAAGCTCATCTCAACATGACCCCACTCTGGAAAAGTTCACTGAAGCTGGACACCATTGGATGTAGGATAAAGGACTGACCAGAGCATCTAAGAATGGGAATTTTCAGGTTCTGCTGAGTGTACGTGGGACTGGGACTGCCACTGCAGCTGGTAATTACTGAGAGTTGAGATGGAGAAAGAAGTTGGCTGGAGACGTGAGTTGCTGACCTGATCCAGAGGACTCTAAAGAAGCCACTGTTTGAGCTGCTCAGTACTGCATTCCACCACACCACAAATTTCTATTCACAACCAACACCCTGTCTGCGCAGACTTCAAAGAGACCGAATGCATCTCAGCAAGGGAAGTGGTCCCTCGAGAGACAACCTGCAATAGTCTGTTGTGGGATGTTCTTTTTCCCTTCAGTTCCATCCCCTTTTCAGGAAGCTGTCAAAAACTGTCACAGATTCCAAGATGAGCTTAGTTCTTCTGGATAACATCCACCTCTGTGAGAGAGGAAGAGCCTGATTTCTAGACAAGAGAAAATCCCCTTCAAACAAGGCTCACGCTGTGTCTAGTCCTGCTGGCTCTTCACAGCAGAGATGACCTTTGGAGTTTGCAAAGTGGACTCAAAGCAGAACATTTCAACTCAATGCTTTTCAATTCATCACATCCCATATTTGCCTTAGAAACACTCAAGTAACACAAAGAAGCCAACAGCTGCTAAGTCTGGGGGAGTTTTTAAGTGGTTGAGTGTATATAAAGGCAAATTCCTAACTGGTAAGACACACTCAGAGTCTAGCACTGACATTAGTTATGAAACACTCTGGGGAAGCTTTTGCCAAAGCACTCTGAATTCACAAGGACCAGGATATTTTGGTGTTTAAAGGTCTGGGCTGGGACTCAGGACACCTGGACTCAGTTCCTGGCCCTGTCACAATCTCACTGTGTAGCCATTGGAAAAAAACATTTTTGTTTTCTTTGTGCCTGATTTTCCATTGCTTTAATAAATTGTTTAACAATAAAAATAATAGCATTTCCCCCACAGGGTAGTAATTTTATTTGGATGGCAAGCAACTTGGGGGCCCTAATCATGTGCAACCACGTAATGCAAGGAGATTTTGATCGTTGTACAACCATTGCTGAATGAAAATCACAAGGAAAAAATGACAGCTGTAGACTCACAACCTCAGTATGTGTTCTGAGGTCTGCTTACTCACCCCACTGGAATGAGATCACTGGACTATCACTGCAGCTTTGCACCAAACCCTGTGTATTTCAGCCAGAGAAGACACAAGAAATAAGAACATCAGCATGGAGAGAGCCCCAGGACCACCCTGCCCTGTCCATTTTGATCTTAACATGCCAACAGCTAGAACTGAGAAGGGGAAAACACAACACGTAAATGCTTCTGGGTTCTGATGCTGGAAAATATTTATTTTCCTCACTGAGATGCTAGGAGTGGTTCATTTCACAGAAAAATAGGAAAAATATTTTAAACAGCAGAATTTTGTATGAAAGAATTTTAGCACATTGCAAATGCTCACTTTCATTCCCATCTGGGACAGTGCTGGCCTGGACTTCAGCAGGACTGTGACTTCCAGCCTGCAGAGGTGGCTTGGATTAAGAAGGCTTCTTTAACCAGAGCATTATACAGGAACAAACACAGGCTGGAGAAAGGACCTTGAGTGAACATTACTAGACAACTGATCCAAATTCTCACTGATAACCACTGAGAAAATCCTTTATGAAGCCTTCCTGGGCTGCATGATGAAAGACATAACACAATGTTAACAGATCCTTAATAGTTCTAGTACCAGTCAAGCTATGTGTAAGCCAATAAACTCCATGCTGAGCAGTCTAATTTGTACCTTAATGCCACTGTCACCAACCTGCCATGCTTAAAAAATAAACTGTCTCACTGGAACACGACTAACTTGCTTTTGATTTTACCACCACTTTGGCTGCGGTGTCCCTCAAAAAGAAACAGAGAATTCACCTCATCACTAAAGCCCACTTGAAACAGCTCACAAGGGCTCAGCTAAACGTGCAGAGACCTGCTCTGAATTCACACTTGCCCTCACTATTTGCAGTCAATGAATCCTGACCAAAGCCCCTCTCATGCCAGATGCTCAGCAAGCTTTGCATAAACCCCTGGCCCCTTCCCCAGGAGACAAGGCCACACAGCAGCACTGCGGCTTCAGCTACAGAGACCCGAAACTTGCAGTCCTTAAAGTTTGCTCTCTGGTGTTTGGCAGTGGGAATAACAAAGGGGTGCCAGGTCTGTGAGATGAGCATCACACAGCTTTACAGTCTGCTTGTGCAGCCAGGGCACGGGTTGGCCCTACCACCACCACTTTGCTTACACTGAACACTGACATACTGCAACTTATGGGGGGAAGCAGCTGTAGCCAGAATAACTACAAGTATTCAGCTGCTCCCAGCTCACCCTGAGGCTTTCGTGGCAAAAACAAGGACAAAAGAGATACAAAAGCCGTAAGATTTAAGAGAGAATGTAGCCAAAGCAATATCGATTCTGACTGACTGAGACAAGGGGTCATGGGTATGATAAAACCAAGACCTCAGACTATTTTTCATAATGAGTTCCCATTGCATTGAAGATAATATCAGATATTTGCAGATGTCATGTATCAGATTGTCATAATCCAACCTGCTTCTATATTAAGGTATCTTCAGCACATTAAACATAGCTTGAATTAATTTATTTATTTTTGGAGGGGAAGAGAAGTAAGGTTTGTACACTGGAAAATTTGCCAGATACCTCAAATACCCAGCATTTCTTCCCATGACTGGACTGGACCTACGTGCATATAACCTCAATTAATTGCTAAGTGCATGAGCTTGGCATGGAGTTTGTGAGGAAAAATTTCAAGCCATTCAGCTGACCTAGGAAAAAAAAGTCTCAACCCTCCCAGACAGCTCCAGGTTTGCTGAACAGATAATGTTTTTCTAAACTTTTCCATAGCTCCACTGCTGCTGTGTTGTATTGAAGACTCAGTGCCCTGGGCTCTGCAGAGGAGGGAGGCTCTGGAGTTTGCAATCACAGACAACAAGGGAAATAAAAGGTTCAGTGTCGTGAAGGATTAATCTCGTTGTGTCTGTGCAGAGCTTACTGCCTGGGTGAGTAGAAGCAAGCAGCGGTGAGATGGCTATAAATAGCATGTGACCTTGTCTCAACTGTTGTATTATTGCAAATAAGATGGAAAAATTCTCCAGAGAAGTTAATCAGGAAATTTTCCCTCTGCTGATGGGATCACACCTTCACAGAATGATGCTTGAGCTGTCTGCAGCCCACCACAGCACCTACTGACCCCACAGAACCACTAAAATCAGAGAGCAAAGCAAACATGTGACAGGAAAGTACCTTAATCAAGTGTAGGGAATAAGTGCCAAGAGACAAAGATGTGAAGCAGTTCAGTAACACACCATCCCCTGGTGTGTTACTGACTAGAAAACTGTTTTCTAGTTTCTTTTCTTTTCTTCCAAATCCAGATAAACAGGATTGACTCCTATTCCTACCACTGCGGTGATGAGGGGCAATAATGATGCATTCCCGGAGGCTCCCCACGCACCTTTGCAGAGGTCTTTTTCGTGTTCAAAATGAAGACAACC